ACATCATTGCATTTCGATAGCTGTTGCTAGTGATTGTGTTTTACTAAGCAGGGGCTGAGGCAAAGCTGAGACTAGTAGTTCACTACTGCATTCACAAACCGTGGAAGTATTAGGTTTTAAATTAGGAATTACCTTGTTCCATTGTGGATATACTGGTCTTCCCATTAAAATCAGCATACTGCCAGTAGAAAATCAGGACTTAATTCTCAACTTTCCATGATGTTTGTAAGTGTAATGCGGTTAAGAGGGTTGCTGAAATCTAGGTCAAAACTACCCAGATGAAAGTATGGGGGGGGAGGTAGGGGTGGGTGTGTGTGTGTGTGTGTGTGTGTGTGTGTGTGTGTGTGTGTGTGTGTGTGTGTGAGAGTAGGGAACTGGGAGTCAGGACTACAGGCTTCCAATTCCTAACCCAGCCACTGATTTGTGATGCAATTCCTGACCCAGACATGCTATCAAGGGAGAATCAGGAGCTCTGTGACTCAGGCTACGTCTACAGTGTACCTTAATTCTGGCAGTGTGCAGGGTATGGCAGGCTGCACGCCACAGTGAAATCAGGCAGTGTTCACGCTGGTGTGTGTAGCTACATATCAGTGTGAGGCTTCGGCAGCTCCCACTGCTTGCCAGAACCTTTCCCCCACCAGTGTCTTTCCTTGTGGGGAAGGGAGGCAGCAGGACACTCCACTGCTAAAAATAGCAGGGTAGACAGGGAGACACTGCTTGAGCAAGTAAATACTGTGTTGAATCCATGCCTGGGTACATACTCACAGACTTCAGGCATATTTTGACTCATCCAAGCAGGATTTCACTGTCTGCACTGCTATTTATGCCCATGCTGCGGGTGCTCCTTGGGAAGGCACACTACATGCCAATAAAATAAGTGCAGTTTGGATGCACCATTAGTTGTCCCCAATCTTACTCCAGAAATATTTCGCTCATAGAGGTGTTGATAATAGATACTTGTGAAGTGTGTTCAGCTCCTCAAATGACTTTGAGCTAAAGGGATTTAAAGAAAATGAGATTTCAGCTAATGTTGAATGCTTTTTGCCTGAGTAGCTGGGATTCTCAGTATGCTCTGCTAAGTAAATTGATCTTCATTTTGCAGTTCACCTTTAATGTAGTCTACCTGAATTAATTGCTGTAGATAGGGAGCAAAAGACCTTTTTCATGTTTGTAATTTGTGTTTTTCTCATCTAATTGGCTTTCCAGCCTTCCAATATATTTTTCACAGTTGATGACATTGTAAAGATAGGGGACTTTGGCTTGGTAACTGCTATGGACCAAGATGAGGAGGAAGAATCCGTTCTTACTCCAATGCCAGCTTATGCCAGACACACAGGACAAGTTGGGACCAAACTTTACATGAGTCCAGAACAGGTGAGATTTTTCTCTTGCACAGTGCAGTGTCATGAATGGATTTAGTCCTTTTCTTGTCTTTAAAAAAATATAGTCATAGAATCATAGAATACTAGGACTGGAAGGGACCTTGAGAGGTCACAGAGTCCAGTCTCCTGCCCTCATGGCAGGACCCAGTACTGTGTAGACCATCCCGGATAGACATTTATCTAACCTACTCTTAAATATCTCCAGTGTCTTGTAAAGTATTAATAGTGTCTTGTTAAAGCTTATTTAATTTATTTTTGACTACCAGAAAATTGAGTCAACTTCATGGCATGCATGGTGTATACTTAGATATTGGAGTTCAACATCTACTTGTATACATACCTGTACACTCATCTTTCCAGCACTGACGTCTGTAGATACAGGTGACAGAGTTCACACAAGCAGAAAACCAACTGCACAGCAGGTGGTAGTGCTGGAAAAGTGCACATGAAAAATTGAATGAATATAAGCGGAAACCATATTGAGGCCCCACTGAAAATCCCACCTAGGAGTTGAAGGTAATAATGACCTCGCTCCTGGCCAATATATAGCAGGTTCCCAGGATGTAGAACCTTGATCTGTTTATTGGTGAGGAGGATTGTAACTTCAGGTGATCAGAAATCTGTTCAGGTTTTTGTGCTGCTCATCTTATTAAATTGTCAGTAGGAATGGAAATCTGATATTGGCATTTTCAGTAAACTTATGAACAGGTTACTTGTAAAAATTAAATGGTGCTGCTGAGCAAAGACTATTTCTTTTTCTTCTTATAATAGGGACAGGTAGATAAAATCTGAATATTTGAATATAGTACCTGATGAATCACCCTCTTCAGCCCTATATAGAACTGATTGTGTGTGTTTAACTAAATGCTGGTTTGTGTTGTCCATAGTGATTTCACATGCACAGATGCATCCTGACATAATTCTGCAAGTAACCACCTAATTTTGTATTTTCTAGATTTATGGGAACACGTATTCACACAAAGTGGATATCTTCTCATTGGGACTGATTCTGTTTGAGCTGCTTTATCCCTTTAGTACTCAGATGGAGAGGGTCAGGGTAGGTATGCATTTATGCAGAAATACTATTCTCGGTTCCCCCATTTCTGGTTAAATGTACTGTTTGAAAGTGGATTATCAAATATTTTGTAAGAGGTTATTATGATATAGCAGTAAGATGTGACCGAATTGGCTGCAGTATAATAAAAAAATGTTTCTGTGTCACCCTCCCAGCTGAGTGTCATGGAGCAGTATGCAGGACTTGCACAGCAGAGCAAATATGGGCAACTGCATTATGAGGCCTTCATTTCTTCATGACAGGTGTGGTGGTGTAAAGCCATCGAAGGGGAAGCTATAGAACTAGAATTTAGCACAACCCAAAGATCAAATGATAGCTGTTGAGTTGCAACCCAATTCTTGGATCCGTTGACTACTGGTTACCTTTCTTCCTTTCTCCCCTCTGGTTTTCTCTCTCCTCCTTCTCCCCTTCCTCCAAAATTCCCAGGGAAGGTTTCTGATGGTTTTCTTTTTGATGTCTAGTCAGAGCAGACTCTAATATTAAAGTAGCTTTGCCTACTTCTCCAGCAACTGGGTGACTCTTCATTGTTCATAGGTTGTATTAACCATAGATTGGGAGTGGTTAATTTTTTTTGCCTGCTACAATCTGTTGTATCATAAGTCCCACTTAAATGTCCTGCTAAGAAAATCTGTTTTAGAAAAATACACTAACACCCTTCCTTGATCCTTGAGAATTCATTCACAGCAGAAAGAGGGCCACGGAGAGCCTTTCCTGTATTTACTGGTAAAGGTCTGCGTAGGCAAGGTCAGGTGGTCGTTTCCACCAAGGTTATATATTGACACGTGTGGTAGTCTTAAATTATTTTTGTGACATGAACTGTTTTGGCATAGCTGAAATTTTCTATGAGATCTGCCCTGGAGCGTAGGTCTGACCTGAAAGCATCACGTCTATTGCAATAATGCACTCCATTGAGTAAAGTTGTGGGGGTTTATGGTTTTTTTATAATATATAATCTCTCTCACACATGCATGCTCCCAGGAGAGCAATGGTAATTATATGCCACTTGAGTTACTTGTGGCCAAAGCCACTTCTAATTCTACTTTTCAATATGAAATAATGACATTAAATTTACTGGGACACATTTTCCCCTGAAACTTCCCTTGTTCTCAGTCAGGAAGCCCATAGAGTGAATGAACATGATCATTGTCCACTTTCTGCCATGTATGCAGGAGCAAACAAGTCGGTCCTAGGAACAAGACCCTAAATCACGTTGCATCCACGGTTCCACCTCTATAGCTTGTCTGTCCAGCAATTCCATTAATGGAAAGCCAAGTTGTAAATCTGCAGTGCTCCATGAAAGCACCTTACAGAACTGTTAGTGCATGGCAGCAGGAGCCACATAGGCACTTAGCACATGGCAAACTGGGGTGCTCTAGACTAATTCCCCAGCTTGACATGCAGTAAGTGGAGGAGTCTGTCTCTAAGCCCCAGGAGTCTATCTCGAACCTGAGAAGAGCTCTCCCTTGTTTTTTTTATTTTCATTGTATTTTCTTCAGTGGGTGTGTGTGTGCGTGATCTGTCCTTGACTTCAGATAATCCTGATCAGAATGGCATTTTAATTAATCCTGTGCTCAAGTTCTCCCCCATGAACTAGCTCCCACTCACCTGTCTTGCTGCCAAGGAAAGGCTGTTCAAGTGGCCCTTTGAACATGACTGAACACTAGTAGCCAAAAATAAGACGCCTCTCTCTGACCTGTTAGCTAGACAGTAGTGCCTTACCCCCAATAAAACCTGGGCAACAGACAAGGAACTGAAAACTGATGACTTAGGCTACGTTTACACTGGCATGATCTTGCGCAAAAACTCTTTAGCGCAAGAGTTCTTGCATTAAAGTAGTTGTGCAAGAGAGCGTCTACACTGGCATGTGCTTTTGCGCAAGAGATGTGCTTTTGCGCATGAGCATCCTTGCCAGTGTAGACGCGCTCTTGCGCAAAAAAGCTCTGATGGCCTTTTTAACCATAGGGCTTTCTTGCACAAGAAATTCATGTTGCCTATCTACACTGGCCTCTTGCACAAGAACAGTTGTGCAAAAGGGCTTATTCCTGAGCGGGAGCATCATAGTCCTTGCGCAAGAAGCCCTGATTTTATATAGTAGAACGTCAGTTTACTTGCACAAGAACACACAGCCAGTGTAGACAGGCAGCAAGTTTTTGTGCAAGAGCGGCCGCTTTGCGCAAGATCACGCCAGTGTAGACGCAGCCTCGGAGTGTGAAGGCCTCTTCTGCCCCAGCCAAGCAGCAGGGCTCAGCTAGATGTGAGGTTGCAGGACTGCAGGTTACTTTTAAATTAAAACACCAAATGCTGATCTAATTAGCCTTACAAAGAGAGCAGGATTCTTCAGAAAACTCCCTGTGTAATCCCAAGATGTCAGCACCCTTTTCCATGAAACTTCATTTCCTGGCAGTGATAGAATGGCAGCCACCACCCAGAAGCATGGCTTACCGGGGTGATTCCTGGATAGCAGCATTTGACAAAGTTTAAGATTTTGTGTTCAAGTTGCTGCATCTTCTGCTTTCTCAGGCATGCTCAAGTGGGTCATGGGTTACTATTAATTAGATAATTTAAGTTGACTGTTCTGCTAATACAGGGGTGTCCAAACTTTTTTCAACGAGGGCCAGATTTGATGAAGTGAACATGCGTGAGGGCCGACCATTTTGCCTGACATTCTTTGAACCATTAAAATTAAATGCAAATTAACTATTTTATGCAAAGTTTATTGCAAACGGCATACTTTTCATTTCGTCACATGGATGACAAATCTAAACAGGTGTTAAATCACTCTGCCTTTCATATCTGAAGGCCAGATGAAAAAAAAAAAAAATCCAGGAAGCTGAAATATATGTCAGGAACATTGTAAAGTACATTACATATTATTGGTAATAAAGGTTGTCTGTCAACTTTTAAGTTCAAAAAATATGAACAGGAACATAACACCAAGTATACATGTAGTGTCCAAATATATTTATAACTGATTTAGACCAACTGACATTAACTGAGATTTTACAATGTATTCATCTCAATACATATGGATTCGTTGGGGGCCATAAAAGATAGATATTGCCAAATTACCTGGGGGGCCGAATTAAACCGGAACACGGGCCGCAATTGGCCCGCGGGCCAGACTTTGGACATGCCTGTGCTAATAATAATTTGTAACTGTATAGTTAGAATGGGGAAAGTCTTTCCACTAGAGGGAGCCAGCACATTCTGTATGAAGTGAACATAGACTTTAATAGAGATAAAAGGCAAGTTTATAATGACTTATTTAAAACTATTAATCAATTTGTTCATTAGTCCATAAACATGAAGTAGGTGTGAGTGTCCATTTGGCTCGACAAGATGTAACCAATTATCTTAACTTAGAATGTCCTAGGAGAAATACAGATAATTCCAAGTGTCCCAAGCAGTACACGCTCCATAATATTGCTCTGTGAACAGTACAGTAAAACCTGCGCTATCCGGAACTTGAGCATCCAGAAAACTGTAGAAAGCCTCAAATTTCTGATGCCGGGAAAAGCAAATACTAAAAAAAAAAAAAAGAAAGAAAACTGGACCTTTAAGTGCCAGGCCGCTCCTCAAGACATATATGCAGCATGTACCTGGGAGAGGGGCAAACAGTAGCTGGAAGCAAGCATCTCTACTCCCCCTGCAGCTCCTGCCCCCCCAGCAGGCCAGCTCTGCCTCCTGACCCCACTCCTTCCCCCCCCCCACGCACTTACACTTCCCCCCCACCAGGCTTTGTCCCCACAGCTCGTGGCCCCCTTAGCAGGCCACATCCCAGCTCCTGCCCCCCCCCTTCAGATAACCAGAATTTGTAGGTTACCGACACGTCCTAATCCCTGGGCGTGCCAGGTAACACAGATTTTTACTGTATTAAGCTGGACCAGAAAAGCATTACTGTGGGGAAGTGGCTAGGTTTCTTAGTATTACAAACTCCAGCTCTTCTGTCATGTGTCCGAGTGCAAACTGTGACCCATAAGAAACCGTGACCTCCATGTGCATTGAAGTGCATAGTAATTCTAAACTATTATGTAAGTCTTAATAAACGCTACACTTTTTCTCTTGTTTGTCAGCAGTACTAAAAGTATTCTAAAATTCGGTCAGGAATAATTTATGTGTATAATGTTTTTTGATAACTTAGTATCTTAACTTTGAGAACAATAATTCAATGGGCAAGATGTTTAATGACCCCTTTTTGATATTATTACAGACATTAAGTGAAGTAAGAAGTTTGAAGTTTCCACCATTGTTTACTCAAAAATATGCACAGGAGGTAAATATATTAGTTCTATATTATAAAGTAACTAAAATACCTGGTAGCAAAGACAAAAAATAGTCTTAGCTGTTATGTTTTTAAACCCAATTCCTATTTCAGGTACTCTGCTGTATCTATTAAATAAGGAGTAGTGATTTTTAAATCACTAAAAAAATTGTAGACTGATACCTTTTCCTGTGTATAGTAAACTTCCAATAATCTGGCACCTTCAGGACCCAAGGGGTGCCAGATTATCAGATATGCCAGACTATCGGAAGGGGGGGCTATGAGGGGTCTGGAGTGGGGGGGGGGAAATGCCACCACAGACCCCTCATAGCACCCC